AGGTCACGTGACACGTTCATGTAAAAGGTGGACACCATCAAGGGCAATTAATGTTACTGTTCTCATGAACATATCATTCATATGGTGAAACACTTACCTATGCTAATAAATGTTGTCATTTCTTGCTGCGCATGGCTTCATTTTATTATCATTGTTATTGTTTTCGCCACCGAGGGGGATTACAATATTATAATTTTTACTCTCATTTATTCAGGCTCACACACAAACAACACATAGAAATTGCACTAAAAACGAGTTAAGCTTATAGTCTATCACATATCTAGAAAAACCATATTAATTTTAACAGTCAACAGTGACCAACGAAAACAAATTTATGACTTATAAAACTTTGTACTTCTCAAAAAAAGCACAGTTGATATCCTAATTTACAGACTGGGCACGTACAGTAACAAATTTAGCTTCTTTGCATGACCATGTTTCACGGAGATTATTGGCAGCAGAGGTAAGGAGGACATAACGTTGAGTGGCATATCTTAATTGTACAAAACAAAAAGCAGTGTTTCACCGACTCAGAGTCAAGACCGCACTCGCAAATAGGTGACGCACATTTTTTGTTCTTCCGTATTGTAGGTCTGTAACTATGATTAGGTCATTGAAGTAAATGGCATTTTCAGTACAAGGTTTGTTCAAGACTCTTATCCGCGTCCAGGTACAATATTAATTACAAACCGGTGAAACGAGTTCGCGAGAACGGCTGTTATGGCGGACACATCTTGTTAAATACAGGGATGAGGTATACTCGCCAGCCGGAACTGACGGACAAGTAAATGACAAAGTAAAACAAGCAGCTAGATAAAAAAAAATTTCTCTGTACTAGGTNCTCGGGTAACCAATCACAGCGCAGGATTTGATTCATCTTGCCCGCTCACGGAGCTAGCCATATAATAATATTAATTACAAACCAGTGAAACGAGTTCGCGAGAACGGCTGTCATGGCGGACACATCTTGTTAAATACAGGGATGAGGTATACTCGCCAGCCGGAACTGACGGACAAGTAAATGACAAAGTAAAACAAGCAGCTAGATAAAAAAAAATTTCTCTGTACTAGGTTTAATGTCAGTTTCCAGCCATCAGGTAGAGAGGACCGCGGGGGCGCATCGAAACACCCACCCCTGGCCTATAGTCTACTTCCGAATTTTCGAGAAAAGAGGACAACAAATAAACAAAATTTTTTCGAAAATTTGGTTACACGTCGAAAATTCTTGCAGCAAAATTGATTGTTTTCAACCAATTCTTTCCCCTTTCAAAGTTGACAAAATTTTTCTTTCCTGAATGACAAAGCACCGTTACCTTCCCACTACCACCCTGTGAAACAAACTTAATTCTTTGCGCAAGACTGGGCACGAAAACAAATATGGCTGCCCCCGGGAAGTTTCTTTTAAAAAGGTTTTTACAAGGATTTAACGGAAAACCTTGTGGTTTGGACGGGATAGTCCTCAATTTTAGCCATTAAAGCAAACTATTCTCAGATTGTTGCCATGGAGGATAATAAACGGGCCAAGGAATTGTCATTTCAATGGCCTCATCATGCGGTGGATTTGGTTGAACGGTCGATGGAAGTTGATGGCGCCAGTGTTATATGCGTTGCAAGGAAGGAGTCCAAGACGTTTATAGCTTGTAAGGTGTTCCAGGAGTTTTGGAGAAGAAATATACCAGCTAGAGGGATGGTTCTCTTGGTAGACGACGAGAAAGGTAAAGTCTGAAGATCAAATTGCTATTTGCACTCTATCTGGTCGCTTAAGGGAGGTTTGATTGACAGTTCAAACGTTAACGTGTGGTTATGTCTAACGCTAGTCATACAACAGCAGCACCTGTACATTCGAGATTAGTCTCACGGAGATTAGAGCTTTGACTGTCTACATT